GCCCAGCCAAATACGACACCTGGATTTTAGCAATCAATTTACGGCTGACATTCGCCACATTGCAAGGACCGAAAATGTTGTCCCAAATGCTCTTTCACGTATCGAGGTCTTGGAGACGTCAATCGATTGCCAGGCTCTGGCCGCAGCACAACAGCAGGTTGAGGAACTAAGAAGATTTCGGACAGAGAATACAGCCTTCAGCTCAAATTGGTACGAATCCCAGGCTGCGACGCATCGTTACTCTGCGACGCGACGTCTCCACGCGAACAGCGCGCCCTTTCGACACCAAGTCGTTTAGCCGAACTGTATTCGAGTCGGTTCATCGTCTATCCCATCCAGGCATTAAAGCCATCGTAAAACTGGTGACCCAAAGCAGACTGTCAAGAGTGGGATCGCAACTATGTAGAGTGCCAGCGTTTGAAGCTCGTGTACTCGGACATAGTAATTATGCCACTCTCAGAGGGTTGTCGTTACTGCCTTACCTTGGTAGATCGGTATACCCGCTGGCCAGAAGCCGTACCAATTAGCGATCAAGAAGCAGCCACCGTGGCACGAGCCTTCTACGACAAATTTGAGAACGACAGCCTACCATTTCTCAGTCAACGGAATGGTTGAACGCCTACACCGACAGCTAAAAGCAACAGTTATGTGTCACCAGAATAATCGCTGGACTGAAGCCCTATCCACCGTCATGCTCGGCATTCGAGCAGCATGGAAAGAAGACTTCTATGGTTCCTCCGCTGAGATCGTGTATGGCCAACCTTGCGTAACTTGAAACCAAGCGATGTACAAAGAAGACCCTTGTTTTCAAATATCTCATCACCTCCAAATAAGTTTTTGTACGCCAGAACGGTCTCAAGCAGCCGCTTCAATAGCCATACGACGCGACGATCCGTACAGAGTCGTAAGGCGATCGGGGAAAACGTTCGTCGTCAACATAAAAGGTCGAAATGTCACCGTTTCCATAGATCGGCTCAAACCCGCGTATGTACTAAAGGTCGACACGCCCACGTCATGGTTTGGCCGGACACTACAAGCACGACGCCCACGACAGACTAACCAGCGCCTTTCACAGATCAACCGTACGATGACGACGAGGTGCCATCTTCCACAACAACGAGGACCACTAAGCTCAGAAAGACGGGTGCGTTTCCCTGGGCGCCTGAAGAGCGGTTTTTCATGAAAAACACTAGCAGGGGGTACTGTAGGAGCAACCATTTCCACAAAAACGTATTTATAATTTATATAAATTTCTCTACAAATATAAAATACGTCCTATCTTTCATATACCTACACTCCTACTTTCGTTTCCAGTTTCTAGAATTCTCTGAACTCTTTCTTTACCTGCTTCCACCGAACCTACCTGTCGACAAATTCAAAAACCCTTCCTTCTTCATCTTCGAGCCCTCAAATAGTAAGCAGCAAATAAAATCTGAAAAGCATAACGGTCTCTATTTCTCAAATCACCAACGGTACCCACAAGTTAATAATACAGGTCGATTTCGAAGTGTGTGCAATAAAAAAAATGGAGAATAGCGCACAATAAGATTTATTGCACTATGTAAAGTCTTTGACAATGGTGAATTTTTCCAATTCAGAGTCTGTCGACATAGTAGTGCTTTATGGTTGGCCAGTGAATTGTGGATAGAGCGGTTTCCACATTGCGCGATTTCATGTACGCGAACATTTACATCAGTGGTGCAGCATCTCCGAGATCACGGCACCTTTAAGCCCCAAACTCACGATCGTGGCCGCGATAGGACCGAAAGAACAAGCTGAAGAACAAATTTTGGAACCCGTGCTATCATACTCAAATATGCTCAAGAACAAAACTCAGCTGGCAATTATCGTCAAACCCAGGGACGCTAGACAATCTGCTTCTGTGACTAAATCTGACTTAGTTATCACTTGATGAGGGCTGCTACGAACTACAGAGAATGTTTTCCGTTCAAAAACAATTTTCTTGAAAAAGATCAGTTTGCAGTTGTTTTGTTAATGCTGTTTGAGCTACAATTAAAGATTTCTCACGCTGTGGTGACTGTGACTGTGTTAAACTTTCTTTGTATTTCAAGTCAGACAATGTTAAGTTTTCTTTGGGTTTCTTTATTGAACAAAAAGGCGCCTTGCAACTAAAGAAACATTCCTGACAATTCACATACTAATAATAAAATGACGAACCCTCACAGACTTTGCTTTCAATACATTCAATAAAAATATCAAGACTACACCGCCACTTTGATTACTCATTTCTATCTGGTGCTCTCACTCACCTACAAACATACTAATCACTAGATGTATAAAATAATTAATTTCAACACTCCTCCTTAATTATTTTAGAACAAAGTGATTCAAACAATTTTCTTGGGGGAGATTTTTTAAATATATCAGCAAGTTGGTTATCACTATCAACATGTTTGAATGTGATAACCAATGTGGGATTTGTATATGCTTCTTTCCTTTTGTAGTTTTACTTTCATGAGCGTTGTACATCATATGAATTGCCGCTTGATTATCGATAAGTAATTCGATGGGTTTATCTTCCTTTACAATTTTAAGTTCCAGACAAATTCTTTTGATCCAACAAACATCGTCAATTGCAGACACGGCTGCTCGGTACTCTGCTTCAGCAGTGGATGTTGCTACCAAACGTTGTTTCTGTGTGTACCAAACGATTGGTCCTCCTCTCATCACAAGTACTCCGGTAGTTGAATATTTAGTCTCAGGATCTCCACCATAGTCGGAATCCGAGTAAGCAACGAGTGTGTCGCTTCCGTCAAAGAAGATACCATGATTTGGTGTTCTTTTGAGATATTGAAAAATCCTTTTTACCATTCGCCAGTGACTCATCATTGCCTTTCCGTTAAAGCGACTTACAAAGTTAACAGCAAAACTGATATCCGGTCGAGAAATTATGGCCAGGTACAACAGGCTTCCAATCGCTTCGCTGTATGGGATAGATGGCGATATGGGTTGATTGTTCATTTTGTTCTCTTCTCCTGTTACCATGCCTTTCTCAATGGGAGTTGACTTTGCATTGCACGTATCGAATTTAAAGCGTCGAATGATCTTCTCTGTACACTTTGGTTGACCTACAAAGATGCCTTCTTTGTCAATGTGAATTTCCATTCCGAGGTATACGACCTTGTTTTGAACTTGACGGCTGTATGTGATTTCGAATTTTCAGTTGATGATGTCGAGTATCTTGTAGATTTCCTTTTCATCATAGCCAGCGATAAGTCCGTCGTCGACGAACAAAGTTATAAGGATAGTCTTATCCTTATTGTAATACAAACAGAGATCATCATCGGTGTTCATTAATCCTATTTTCTTCTCAAGAAATTTTGAAATCGTATCATGCCAGTTCCTCGGAGCCTGTTTCAATCCATATAATCCTTTCTGTAATTTGCACATATAGTTGGTGCCATCTTCAAATCCTTTCGGTTGATGCATGTAAATTTCCTCCTCCAGGTTACCATATAGGAAAGCTGTCTTGACATCAAAGGGAACAAGTTTCATCTTCTGGATAGCTGCATTACTCAGCATAAGACGAATTGAAGTATGACGAGCTACTGGACTGAACGTTTCCGTATAATCAATCCCTTCTTCTTGTTCAAAACCGCGTGCTACCAAACGTGCTTTCAATCTTCCATCTGCCTTCTCACGTAACACCCATCTGCATGTCAACGGTTGAACTCCTTCGGGGCATTTCACAAGTCTCCAAGTTTTCATTTGTGTCAAAGAATTAAGTTCTTCTTGCATTGCACGTTTCCATCTATCATCCTTCAGTGCCTTATTGACAGTGATATCCTGGATTTCTCCTATCGAAGCTACATTTGCACTTCTGTTCGGTGTGAGATCGTCGAGTACATAATCTTTCAGTCGGTGTGGCATTGTTATCGCTGATCAATCACGAAGTCCTCGCCTTCTCTGAGGTGTTGTCTCTTCATCTTCATCTTCAGTAATTTCGCCTTCAAGATTTTCTTGTTCTTGATCTTCATCCTTCAGATTTGTATCAGACTAGCATTCTTCATCTTCATGACCTAGATCAGTCTTTTCAGATATTATTGGCACACTTCCTATCATGTCTCGGTATCTCGTTTTCTCTTCATCAAAAATCACATTGTCAGAGCAAATGACTTCTCTTTCTCCAGGTATGTATATTCGATAGCTTGATGACTCGGTGTCATATCCAACAAGGATTCCCTGCCTAGACTTCTTGTCGAGTTTTTTCCTTCTATGATCAGTTTTCAGAACGTAACAGTCACATCCGAAACTCCTCAGTTTGTTGATATCAATACGACGACCGAACCATAAGTCTGCGGGACTCTTGGCGTTGACTGAGCTGGTGCCAGTCTGATTCAAGGTGAACACGACGTAGTTGACAGCTTCTGCCCATAGATTTTCTTTCAAATTTCGCGCATGTATGACCGACCTCGCAGATTCCACCACGGTTCGCATTTCCCTTTCAACTCTGCCATTCTGTTGTGGTGTGTGAACGTTTGAGAACGTATGCCTGATTCCTCGCTCCTCCAACATGTGGTTTTGTTCTTTATTTCAGTTCCATGATCCGACCTCAGTTCTTTCACCTTCCTTCCAAATTGAATTTCAACTTGTGTCAGAAATATCTTTAGCTTGTCTGGAGCTTCATCTATCGACATCAGATAGTAAACGGTTCGAAAGTGCGAATAATCATCTTCAAAGATCAGGAAATACTTCGCTCTTCCGATCGACGTGACATTCATTTCCCCAAGATCTATATGAACTAGATCCAATGATTGAGCTACTACCTGCTCATTTTTGGGATGTGAAATTCGATGTTGTTTCCCATAAATGCATCCTTCACAGACTCGACTGTTCCAGTCATCTATGTACTTGATGTTATTCCTGTCTAGGATGTCCTTGACGTATTTCAGGTTCTGATGTGCAAGTCTCTCATCCCAGGTGACAATTGAAGTTGCAATTAGGCTGGTGTTCGTACTGGGTAATCGGAGCATCACTCTCTACAAATTTCCTTCTCGTTGAGCCATGGTAAGAACAGTTTGGTTGTCACTTGACTTGATAATTGATACACTTTTGTTGCACGTCTCAATGTGTCCTCTGTCCATCACTTGACTGAGTGAAATCAAGTTAAAGTTCAAATCTGGTGCATAGAGTACGTCTTCCAGAATGACTAGTCTCCAGTTGTTACCATTGTATTCTTCAAGTTCTATGTCTCCAAACGCTGAGGCCTTGAGTTGATTTGAGTCCCCCATAATGACTGTTACAGGTTGCTTCAGTTGTCTCAAATTCACAAACCAGCTTTTGTTGGAAGTCATATGTTGTGTGGCTCCACTGTCTTGGTACCAGTTACCAGTTAGTATTGACATCTTCTACTCGTTGTTGGTTTGGGAGCTCAGTACTCGACAAACCGACGGCTACATAAAGTTTGTTCGAACGTCCTCCGAATCTTCTCTCATTCCTTTCCGACCTCTCATTATCCAATTTGTCATCATTCTTCTTTGGGCACTCCTTGGCAAAATGACCTATTTGACCACAGAGATGACAGGGGTAATTTTCTTTACAGTAGACCAAATACTTTCCACAAGGTTTGTTTCTGCAGTACTTCTTTATATGTCCCTTCTATCCACATTTGAAACAAATGCTGGCAGCACTTCCACCTTGCTTGTTTTGTTTTTGATTGTCTCGTTGGCTTCTCTTCTTATGCTGCATTACGAGTGCGTTGTTGCTTGTAGGTTCACTTCATCCTTCAGCTGCTTTAATTCTGTCCTCTTCTAATCTCAACTTCTCAATCAGGTTTGAGATGGTTCTCTGATTTCCAGTGACATTGTCCCATGAGGTGCGAAAATGGTAGAGAGAGACGTTGTGGCAATATGGTGAGCATTCGAGTCATTGCCCACTGTCGTTTCCATCCTGTGCACTGAGATCTTGAGCTAGTTGTTGTATCTCATTGCAGTTTTCAACAGCTGACTTTGTGCTGTCAAACAGAAAGCCGAAAAATTTTCGCTGCAGATCTTCCATTTCATAATCTGACTTTTTGTCATACAAATTCTCTAACTTTTCGAACATTTGTTGCGACGTTTTACAACACATGATGTGTTTCGCAATTTCCTTACTAACATTTAAGCTAATAATTGTCTGAGCCTCTACGTCTTTATCTAACCACTCTTTTACTTCTCTTTGGTTTGGATCACCAGATGGTTTTGGCTCTACACCAATTACACAATCAAAACATTTCTTCGACTTTAAAATTAAAATAATTTTAAAACGCCAGGCTTCATAATCTATTTCACCATTTTGATCTTCCGACAACATTTCAATATTTGACTTTGTTGTGTCCATTTTGCAATGATTTATATATCAAGCGCCGAAAATGAGACTTTGCAACCGAGCGTATTTGTAGCACGAGAGCGAAACTCGAGCGCCACAAAAGCGCGAGGGCTGCAAAACCGTTTCGGCGTGAGATATATGCAACATCTTTTGTGCTGCTTCTTATTAAAAATAGTATTTAGTGGTTATTGTTATTTCAGTTAGTGCAAATGAAGTAACCTGAAAGGGTTATGGTGTGATTTAGCAGTGCCATACTGTTTTTCTTTGCACATTGAATCTACCTTTTGGTCGGCTGTATTTGTCGCCGCTTAATATTTTTATATCGCGGCGACTATCTGCCGATAATTTCTTCTAATTTGACAAAATGCCGGCCTGTAAACTCTGTGAAGTAAATATTAAAAACTTTGATGAGCTCAAAAAAGCTTTTGTTGTGGAAACAGATTTCACAATAAATGCTCAAAAATAGATGAAGATGAGTGTCTTATCTTGAAAGAAACCTCGAAAATAGATACTCTAAAAGAATCTGATGAAAAATGTCTAACTTTTATTGAGAAACAAAATGACCTTAATTTAATTTCTAACCAAGCGCAACGTAGGTCTGGAAATGTACAAAAAACTGACACTATAATATACCGATCTATCTAAGGCTTTTGACAAGATTCAGCACAGCATTCTATTGGATATACTTTAGTCTACATCATAATGCTTTGAACTTACTACCGTTTTATTTACAAAAAAGAGTATGTTATGTATATTATAACGGATATACACAAAAAGAATTTTTATCTATTTCGGGTGTAGCACAAGGTTCCCACTTGGGTCCTTTGTTATTTATACTTTTTATTAATGATCTTCTCTCTTCACTATCCTGTCTTGTTGATGACATCAAATTGTATTTGTCAATCAGATCCACTGATGTTATGTTACTATTACAAAAAAAAATAGATTTACTTGGAAGGTGGTGTGCCAGTTATAAATTAATTCTTAATTATGTAAGACGATTCGTGGCCATTTAGCGGCTTTAGCGCTAATTATAAACAAATATGCCATTTAATGTGTTCAGAATTTAATTTTCATTTAAAGTGTTCTTTCGGTTTAGCACCGATTTAAATGTAAATATATATATAAGATTTAATACAATGCTGGTTACAGCACCACATGGCCCGTCAGCTCATAACCATTGCAGCGTGGTGTCTATTTGTAGTTATCGTTAAGATAAAAGATTGCTAGAATACAGTAGACAAGAACAATAAAGGAAACACAATAACACAAAGGTCTTATTAAAAAACTTGAGTGAAGTTCTGCCCTAATTATTGAGATATTACTTCCGCTAAAAAAAAATCACCCTGAGGAGGGATTAAAGAAACAATGAAAATCCACCACCGCAGCAAATAACAGTTGAGGTAAGCACTCGTTTAATCAATTAATCTAAATTCGTTAGCGCGCAACCAGAATTTCACGTTACATCCCCGTGCGACCAATTCCACTTTTCGCGATTCCACCAACAAGCCCGCGATAATTGGAGTAGTTAAGGTGGTGTTGTCTAGTTTCCGGTAAACAGCAACCTGAACTGGTCTCTGCAGCAAGCGCCACTAATCATGGCGGTTTAGGGAGAGGGTTAACCCGCTCGCTGACATCGGCCACTCAATTACCGCGGCTTTAATTAGTCCGTGACGGCCCATTGCCAGCTCATTAATACGTAGCGCGGCGAGTCCCGGGAGAGAGCAGGTAAATCACTCTTGACATCTCGGGCGCGCTCCCAAACCGTCTCGTGTCGCTGCTTAATCACTGAATTAATTTTAATTGCACGCTACAAATGGTAATACGACATGTTTTTACCTCATCCTTGGCTTGACGCATGTTCGCCGCCAGGGCTGACATCGCGCCGAGGGTATGTTAACATTATAATATTGGAGAGGCTGCTCTCTAGGACGGGTATTTGTAGATGTGTAGTTCTAATTCTGACTTGTAACAACTTGAGGTTGTACGTGGGTTTTTCAATTCTGTCTGAGATTCTACTGCCGAACAAGTAGAGCGGTGATCAAGTGATGAATGACTTTCAACTGAAAAAAAGGTGTCTGAAGCACAGACATTTAAAACGAAAGAAGGACACACTGGTTGGGATTCTTAAATAACCTAGTTTGGTCCGCACAAAATGCAACATTACTCCAGCAGGTCATGATGTAAGGAAGTTGCAAACTTTTACAATACCGTATTTTGCCGTATTGTCAAATAAATCTTCAAATATTAAAATTTCTGTCAACACCAATGGTGTCACTTTTATTGATGTAGCAACATGAGGTTCTTTTGAAACTTTGAATAGCACTAGAAATAAATTTTATTTCATTTTAAAATTAAAAAACTGGTTCCAGAACATGTGACCTACACCCGCCATAAATAATAGAATTTGAAGTAGTTAATATGTCAAGGTGATTTTTGTTTCGTTGAATTAGAAACTGCAAATTCATAGAAGCGTAGGTCCAATTGTGTGAGAACTCCAGTGGAGTAAAAACTCTTCAAGAAATCCTAAATTTTCTTGAGTAGTATGAGGTTGTTGAAAGAAACTACCTTCAAACTCCTCTGGATGCAGCTGTTCTAAACATGGTTTTTCTCAGACGGTGGAATTTCGTAAGCCCTGGCTGTTTGAAGAATTTAGGGATAGTTAGGCGTTTTCCCTTCGCGTGAATAGTTTTTCCCTCAGGTGCTGGGGATAACCACTCCGAAGAGTTCTTCCGTCCTAGAAAAAATACAAAGACGTATGAAACTGATCTAAATACTCTTTTTTCTAAACTTGGGACGGTTTAGGTACACGAGTGTGTCAGGAAGGTCCATAATACTCAAAACTAATTATTACAAAGTGAAACTAAGCAAAAAGTCGATTTCTAATGCGAATTTTCCGTAATCTTTTCTCGTGAGAAAAGTTACAAAAATGCACTATACCTTCAAAAAATATCAAAAATTGGTCTTACGGTTATGCATTCCTGGAATAAATCCAGAGCAAAAAGCGTTTCGGATCTCCTGTCATACGCAAACGACGGCTTTTCATTAGATTCAGCCCAAGAGACACTTTCAGTGTATAACTTCTTGGTACTTTTAGGACTTGTAAAAAGCATTTTCCTCTATTCTACACATAAATGCCCTTCAACAAGCGCCTGCAATAATTTTGTTGGGAAATATTAGTCGAAACTGAGCTTGCATTCAGGAATGGAATTTTGCCAATCTCCATTTATTAAGCGTCCACTTCAAAAATAAGCTTCAACAAAGAAAATGTTTTCTTGTATGGTGTACATTTTAGTTGCTTATTAATATGAACGTTTTAAATAAATATTGAAAGTGATTGACAATGTATTCCTGACTGACAAGTAAAATTCAAGAATTACATTTAAATAAAGTTCAAAGCTAACCAACTAACTAACTAGATGAAGATCCTTTTGAAACACGTTGTACAATATTTTTCAGTAATGAGTTCCACATCAAAAACTCTAAATACCTTTAAACACGTTCCAGTTATCACTGACGACTTGCTTGGACAATATTGATTTCCAATCAAGTTCGTTTAGATTGTGACCTAAGGCCTTAAAATCTATATACGTCTTCCTAATTGAAATGGTCTTCATATAAGGTTTAAAGCTAATTTGTAGGTCAATATTTTAAGTAACATGATAACTGACTTTCCAACTGAACTTAAGTAATCCAAGTTGACCAGTGAGTTGGCGTCAGAAGAGATTATGAATTCAAGCAGAGAAGGAGTTCGATTTGGTCTAGATCTCGTAGGATTAAGATGGCTGTTAATCAGCAACTGGACTAACAGTCTCTACACCCCATCAACATCTTCAGTGACAGTCCGTATTAAGCTCAAAATGTCCTTATAAATTCTACTGTTTCATCATAATTTAGAGGATACTGCTATATTGTTCAATAAACGTTCGATTGGAAGCAATAAGTCTGAGGTTGGTGTCAGACTTTCGCAGGAATCGTTCGTTTTTGCTTTTTTTAGTTTTTGGTTGTTCTCTTTATTATTCTCTATAATGAAATTTTT